TAATTATTACAATAACACTGATTTTTTAGGGGGAAAAATACCGATTTTTAGACTAAAACTTTTATCCTTTAATCCTCTTGTGGTAAGATTAAACTTTATTGCGCAAAAAAATGTAGTAATGAAATGAATGAATAATTGAACAAGGCCCAGTTCTTAAAAAAAGTCGTGGCAAAATTTCAAATATTTGCCTTCGCGGTATTATTTTCACCTGCGTTTGTGTGTACGCAGCTCTAATTTGGACCCCAATATAACTACTAGTTATCATATACCGAAAATATAAAACATTTCAGTCAAACTCACGGAAGGTTTGGCGGTTTTTTGTTGTTGTTTGACTTTCGGTATTTATTGATGTCCAGGTGTAAGCTCTTATAGGGCAGACGCCACAGTCGGTACGTGTCCTTCTTTGCTTTGATCGAAACCATGACAAAACTGACACAAAACTGCAAAAACTGCCGCAAAGGGCATAATATCTCACGTTTTAGAATTTCTGGTCACACAAACTCACAAGCCTATGTAGTATGTACCTACAAGGCTTCTTGACAAATTTTATATGGCGAAACTAAAATGTTTTGCAAACATAGGTCCATATTGACACCTGTTACAGGGCGATTCCATGCAACCAGCAAGAGGGGTGTAGCTACAATAATCATGGCCATACATGGAAAACATTTGTGTAAACAATTACTCAAAACCCTATACTAACCGATCCGACATCAATATGCCAACATTCTCCTTGTTGGGTGGTTGCAACCAGTTCTATATTTCAATGCGATGAAGTCGTCAGTCTTTATAATGATTAACGTTACTACAATAGCCATTTGTTTATAGTCAACATTTCCCCTCGAGAGGACAAATAAACTGCAAAATAGCAGTAAAAAAGTACACCTGCTACCATAACCTGGACTAACTTTTGAAAGGAGAAAAAAAAAAATATTTGCTTAAAAAGTACCCATAACCCCCCTCGCACCGAAACTGGTACCCGGAAGTTGTAACGTTAAAACTGAAGTTTGCTGCTGGTTTCGGTCGGTTCTCCCAAGGGCATTTTACAAGTCTGTTTGACACCATTTGATGCACTAGGACGTAAATGAACCGTTGAACGAAGCATTAAAATCACTGCTGTTCTCTGCGGATATTAGGACTAAACTTCAATTTGCAGGTTGGTGGGATAGTTTCATATAGCCTGGAATCCATCCGTGAACGCTTTGAGGAACGGAGCGGAGACAAAGCGTTCACGGATGGATTCCAGGCTAAGTTTCATATACATGTATAAGCCATGTTAACAACGATGGACTTTGATATGGTACATGTATGCCGTATACGTACTTTGAATTAATTGCGACGTATCATTTTGTCTCTATATAACCATGTTAAAGGGGCATTGTGTAACATTTTGCACCAAAAATTGACTGAATATCTTGACTGAAAATTTTCAGATTGTAATTTACTTCCATTTTTCAACCGTTTTGTGCAATTATTTCACATTTATGGTTGGTGTTAAAACAGCACACACCTACAGATGCACTCAGTTTTGGTACCACCACAAACTACCAGAATGTAAACAAACATGACTGACAGCTGTATTTCCAGCACCCAAAAGTTGTCGTATTTTTGCCACCTCCACTTCCTGAATGGCACTTATTTGCAATGGAGTAGGTTCAAGTTACTTTGTGATAAAATGACCAGAATTTTTTTTCTTACACGATGCAGCTTTAAAACTGCCCCTTGTTTATTTTTGTCCAGCAGATTTCACCAAGTGAACCGCCGCCATGTTCTGGGGTTATGATTTTGATGCCTCGAGTGACGATGGCTATGGCTATGGCTATGGCTACGATGACGACTGCTATGGATCCGACGATGATTATGGCTATGACTATGACTCTGATAGCTGCTACGTTGATAGAAAGAGTGGCAGAGACTCAACAGATGATGGCTCCCGTCGCTTCGAAAACTACGGCCAAGGTCGCGAGCTCCTTGCTGAACTAGCCAGCCAGCGGAAGACCGGGGAATTCCTTGACGTGGTGGTCCAAGTCGAGGGTAGGGAGTTCCCCTGTCACCGTGCTGTGTTGTCATCCACACCATACTTCAAGGCCATGCTGTCGTCCAACCTCGCAGAGAGTAGTTCAGAGGTCGTACAACTGCACGGGATTGACTCTATCAGCTTCTCCAAGATCCTGGACTTCCTGTATACCGGGGAAATCCGCATCGGCAAAGACGACGTCCAGGACATTCTGCAAACAGCACACATGCTACAGTTTGACAAGATTCTACAGTACTGCCGAGAGTTCATCCAAGATAACCTTTGCCCATCCAACTGTCTGGGCGTCATGCGCCTGGCCGACGTGTATGGTCTTTCTGCCCTGAAGAAGAAAGCCAGGGACATGGCAACGTCACACTTCTCAGACGTCACACAAGATGAGGAATTCCTTAGCCTTTCGGCGCAAGAGCTCACAGATCTACTCAGAGACAAGGATCTGGAAGTTACAAATGAAGACGACGTTGTCAAGTGTGTCATCAGATGGCTCGACGAAGACCCCGAAATCCGTCAAATGGCAATCCTGAAGATTTTGACAGAAATCCGGCTATCTTGCGTGAGGGTCAGCGTGCTACAGAAGCTGGAGTCACACCCTGTGATACAAAGGTCAGCAGAATGTCAGGCAAAGATCGCAGCAGCCAGGGAGAAACACCTTCATGGCACACAGGTAGAGGGAGAAGATACGAGTTGTCTTAGACAGGGAACATCGGACAACCTGGCAATCATTGTCGGCGGTTGGAAGGCGGCTGCAGACAGGAGACGACATCTTCACAATGAGCACCCCATCATTGCACAGCCGACATCCCTGCAAAGTGTGATTTGCTTCGACCCAGACAGTGAGCAATACTACCACATCACTACCCTACCAACGCCTGTCTCCGGCTACATGAGCGTGGCAAGTGCAGAAGGACACCTGTACGTGACAGGTGGGCGGGTGCATCCTCTGGTGGGCCAGGGTCCTCATTCTGCCCCATCCAGGCAAGCTTTCCGCTACGATTTGCCATCGGACACTTGGCTGAGGCTGCCGGACATGCCTCGCGGCAGGGCAGGGCATCAGTCGGTTGTCGTTAACGGGAAACTCTTCCTGGTTGGCGGTGATGCAGAGGCGACAGCTTTGGTGACCATGGATTGCTATGATCCTGAAGAAGGGGCTTGGATAAAGATACCTTTGTGCCCGCCTTTGCAAACTTCATCGCACTTGATGGTAACAGCCTTTGGAGACAGGGTTGTGTTCATCGAGGTGCCAGAGATAGCCGATGACAATGACTGCTCCATTGACGTACACAGGCTCGGTGTTGCCTTGCTGCTCGGGGCTCAAATGGGCTTTAGGATCCAGCGACGCACGGAAGAAGGAAAACTGTGTGTCCATGCGTTTGATGTAAAAACCGGAGGTTGGAGGTACGCCGATACCCAGGTAGATATCCGATCTCTGGAGGATGCTGACATCATCACGACTGTTGTCAATAACAAGCTTCATATCCGTACCGCAGGTACACCGTATGCTGACATATATGTCTTCGATGCCGAGGAAGAGACCCTAAATGAGGGTGATCGAAAAGATTGGAAAGAGAACTTCCTTCACATGCAAAGTGAGTACAGTTACCACTACATGAATGGACAGGAGGGCATCGTGGATACCATTCGCAACTACGAGTTTGGAGACCACTACAAGTCCCCAAAGACACCCCTTCCCTTTGGTGTATTTGGCCACAGCTTCCTCCAAACCAAGAAGAGCCGTGTTGGGTGGTACTGCCGGGACCTTGCAGTACTGGAGAAAGAGGACGAGCGAGAGGGATCAGACGAGTCATAGAGGGCAATGAGTGACTGAACTTGATTCAAAGAGGCAAAATACAAAAACTTGCTTGATTATGCCAGGTTATGTCCAAAGAAAAAACTATAATTTCAAGCCCTAAAACAACACTATGATGCCTTTTGGAATCGGGTCCAAATGCCAGGATGAAAACAATAACAAGCCGTTATGAACTATGAACCAAATTGACCCATACAAAAGTTAACGTGAGAAGTGATCAATTTTTAAAGGCCAGCCCAAACACGATTGCTTGGAAGAGTCAGGAAATATATTGTTATTGTATATGTAATGTACCTAATTTGTATAATTTGGGAATTTTAGATAGAAAAACAATCGTATTACTTTAGTTCTGTTTTGTTGGTATAATTAGCAAAGGCAACAGACTTTCCAAGTTGGGGTATACAAATGTTAATCTCAAAGCAGATATTTGGGAGGTCAAATCAGGATCTGTTTGTATAATCAATGAGAAACACTTATAATTTGTCAGTTTTAAAGGTTAACATCATTTTGCAAAGGTATGAGCTTGTGGAAATCTATTTACTCCTATGATTAAATGGCATAGCTTTTTCCAGGATTATACCATTGTTTCAATTCAAAATCTATCCAGTTGGTTGAGTAACAATTTGTTGTGTATCTTATTATCGGTACCTGGATGTCTAACCTTCATTGATGTATACCAAAACAATACTTAAATTCCAGAAAGAACAAGTATATACATGTATACAGAAATTTAAATGGATCATATCATCTTGTTCAAAACATTGGCCATCCGTGTTTGTGGCAAAATATTAAAATCTCATTAACTTAGCATATAGATCATGATTGCACATATATCATGTACCACAAAATATGTTACAATTAAGTCTGAATGATCATTGCACAATAAACCAGAGTCAGATCATCCTTGCAATCTTTTGAGAAAAATGAACAGGTATGCAACAACAAATTATTTTATGACATATGTATATTAGATATTTGAGAAAATATGGCCACCCTCTTTCAAATGTACCTGCATTTTTCAGCTACAAGTCATCATTATCTCTATGCATCTTATCTGTAAAATTGTTTCTATCAGCCTTTGTTACACTAGCCTGAATTCATCACACTTTTAGCAACCCTTCTACTAGTCAGGCCCCTAGAAGCTTGATGGCCAACATCTCTAATTCAGAAGAATTAGCAACATCTTACTCCTATTGATACGTGCATAATATTATGTGCTAACATGGTCCAATTTTTGACAGACTAAGAACTGTCTGTTACCATAGTGTTGGAGGCTGTGATGACTGGTTTCCATAGTGACAGAGAATCCTGAGCTCCTATTGGACTGGTTTTCATAGTGATAAAAAACCTGAGCTCCTATTGGTAGTTTTCGGAATGTTTCATTGCAACACTGCAAATGCCTCCTTACTGCAAAATCAAATTCTCACAAACTTTTGTTAATAAAATTTATTGCAAGCAAGGGAATGAAATATAAACCACCCTAAGACTGTTTTAAATGCTGCATGTCAGTCAAAGTTATGAGGTAAAATTTCAGCCAAGACCACATAACCCCCACAGCACAGTAGACTGATGTGAGCATGAGTGGGAGGAACGGCAGGCGGGTGGTGAGACCTAGGGTGTGATGGCCCAGGCTGCAGTACAGCTGGAGGAACACCAGTCCCACGGTGTATGCCGTTTCCAGTGGGGACAGCAGCGGGAGACAGTACGGCCGTTTCTTACTGGAACTGAAAAAAGAAGGAAATGTATATATAATATTTTTTCCAGGACTGTGAAAAAAAAAAAAGAAATGTATATACAATAGTGGTTCTACAATCACAAGATACAAGTTGCTTGGGAGCCCAAAATCTTATCATTTTAAGGTCTCATCAAGACATTCCTATCTACTGAGATTCATGACAATCCATGCTTAGCTTGTTGAGTTATCATGCTAGACCACATACATACATACATACGTATACATAGACACAATGAACTCACCTATGGAGAACCCCCAAGGACATGAAGGCAAACAGTGAGAACATCAGCATCAGGCACACTTTACTGGGGGTTTCTGGCAGGGAAATATGAAGTAATTCGACATGGTTACCAAAACACATTTCATTCACAAATGCTCTCATTATGAGGCTGAAAGAAACAATGTCTTTACAAATGTTACCTTTCTAGTTACATAACTTTTTTTTCTCACCTGCCTGTGTGAAGAGGAGTGGGAAGAGAGACAGGTGTCCGCAGGTGCTGAGGAGGAGGAACACCTGCCCGTCCTGTCGACTCTCTACTGCCAGCAAGCTGAACATGAAGAAACATTCATGTTACAAAGTCTCTCTCTCACAGTCCCTAATATCTTTGATAAATATCCTTTTTTTTTTAAATTCAGAAAAAAGTAGGGTCTAAACTTTCTTGCTCTGGTCAACTTTTGAACAGGAAGGGTCTAACTCTAAACTTTCCTGCTTTAGTCAACTTTTGAACAGGAAGGGTCTAAACTTTCCTTCTTTGGTCAAATGCTGTTCATTTCACCACTTCAGTGGGTGACAGATCTGAATGGTTAGATCCTGCATGTCCAGAGTGGATGGATAAATGAGAATTGAGGTCAGAGGTAGGATTTGTTTCCCATTGTCAGCTGTTCTAACTGAAGCAAAGTACTCATTTAACTTTCATTGAGTGAGGAAATAGTTTTTTTTTTCCATTAGGACCCAACATTGGGGCCTGCCAGGGATTTGAACCCAGAACAGACTCAACAACCCTGACCACAGACCACCTTGCCACTTCCCTCTTGATTGCGTACCTGAGAGGAATGATGATGAGGATGATGGCCTTCTCATGTACGTGGTACCCGAAGAGGAAGGAGGAGAAAGCACAGAGGACAAGGCAGCGGAGGAAGTCCCTCGGGGTGCACGGCCGTCTCCACAGGTGCACCAGAGCAGGCTGGGAAAATACAAAACATATTATGATCATCAACTAGAAAGGCCGACATTTGCTGGGGAGCAAATACAACATATTTCACTCCATCTCCCCCAAGTTATCCCAGATTGAAATACATGTAGTACCTTCCTAATTTGACCCTTATTAAAAAAAGATTGTTCTCTCTATGCAACAATGGGCTCTTCCAGCCTACACTGAAGGCTAATTACATGGATAGCACATTCAGCACCAAGGAAAGGGAATACACTATACGACAGACGCTGTTCAACGTACTCTTTTTACATTATCAGAGATACCACGACCTTTAACACTTGACCTCACCATCATGGCTGCCAGTGTGAGGATGACCGTGACCAGCGGCGTGATGGTGGGCAGTGCATTGTGGGTATACTCCTGTACTAGCCCCCCTGTCATGGTGGCCTTTGTGATGTCATCTGCAGACAGGAGCTTCGCACGAACAGCTGATGAAGAAAAAAGGCAATCAGAGATGACAGACTTCACCCCTTACCCTAGCCTAAAAGCATAAAGCATGAAGTCTGAATGTGTTGAGTAGTTTCAGTACCTACTGCAGTAGCAGCCTTGTCAGCGATGTTATACAGAGCCCAGAAGTTGGGTGCCCAGTATGCATGGACCAGTCCTCTCTTCACGGGGAACAGTCGGGATAGAACCTGGCCCAGCTGGCCCTGGGAAAACAAAAATAAACACAAGTAAACAAACAAACAAACAAGTCTTATATTTTGCCTGACCCTGACCTCTTCTTCATTACCTCGATGAGAAGTGGCTATTAGGTTTGATTTGAACAATTTATAAATAAACAAAGGCCCAAACAATTCATGGGCAAATTATTGATAAGTCTTTATGGATCACATCACAGACTGTACCATTGCAATGAAGGGTCCAAATGAGATGGCGAAGACCTCCAGTACAACCACCCCCAGGCCAAACAGGTTCATCAGAGATAGACTGGTCCACTGGACACGCCCGTCTGTGGACACAGTTGGGAAAACCCTGTGTTAGAATGACAATAGTAGTTTGGAGCAGTGTTTTAACATTTGACAGGATTTTGCTACTCAAGAATTTTGCCCAATCTGTCATCTTTAACGAGTGAATCAGTTCGGCTCTTATTAAAGATACCAAAGTAATCTGGCACAGGTAAAAATTGGAAATGTAATGAACGTCTATCATCATATCTGCATTGTGGATTTAACATCATCTTCTTGAGTGTCTTCTTAAGAAAAATGGAAGTTGTATGAAATATTTAAAAAAATTTCATTTAGCGCTATTTAAATGTACAATGAACAGTGGACAACAACTCATTACATGGACTGCAGCTGTCACCATTAGTATGCCAGCCACACGGTGTGTTAACTGAACATAGAAATCTTCAAGAAATGCCTTCTGTTATTTTCACCTCTATTTGACCTTGTGAAACAGTATGATCTCAACAGGAAGATGAAGTATGCAGGTGCGATGTACAGGTAGATGTGCTTGAAGTTCAGCAGCAAGGAGAACCAGAAAGCTCCTTCAAGATGTCTCCTCTGTAAAACACACAGAGAACATGCCAGCCTTAAAATAATCTGTTCACAATCTTTACATGCCTTATTAATTTTTGGAACAGAAGAAGAGGAAGAAGAAATGGAGCAAAAACAGCATGGTTTCCTTCTGAGAAGGTAACATTAAACAAAAATATCTTGTTGGTGTGGCCTAAGGTAAACTTTAACAACTGACCTGCAGAATCCTGGCAATTGACAACAGCTTGAGTCCAGTCAGGAAACCGTTGTACTGAAAATGGATGTCTGAAACATGCTGTCAAGTCATCAAACTGCACCAGTCCTTGTAGACTCTATAAACAATTCTCAGCCAGCCACTGGTGAATGAATAGATAGCAGATGCTATCTGAAACATCTGATTGCACCACCACATAAATACCATGGATTGATTGGTGAATAGATTGAACTCTTCTCTGAAAAGTCATCATTTGGATGATTAAATTAGTTGATGCCTTGATTAATTGAACACACTTTGCAGAAACCATTGATTGATTGATTGATTGAACCCTGAAAAGATACGGTCCACAATGAGCAGTCCAAAGTTCCACAGCAGCAGCACAGCAAGAACAAACATTGGCTGGGACAGGAGATGGGGGGACTTCTTCTTACCCACCAGCTGTACACACTGGCAACACCTGAAACAACATAACACCTGTACACACTGGCAACACCTGAAACAACAAGGCACCTGTACACACTGGAAATACCTTAAACAACAGCACACTGGCAACACCTGAACATAATAAACAAACTACTGCTCTGTCTATTCTTACTCAATTTCACATTTCATGTGGTGACCAGCCCTCCAGCTTCGTCATGCCACTTGCTACATAATGTAAACCAAGACCACACAGGGTGTCTGCTACTGCAAGTTACCATCATGGTGACTGTCGTCTGGTCCAGGTCATTTATGTTATTTGTTTGTTTGGAGAAGAAGAAGAGGACGAAGAAACTGAGCAAAAAAAAATACTTTCCACCTGCAAAGGTAAACATAATAATCTTACACTTACTCGTACACAGCGTACACCAGCACAAAGTCTGAAACGATGACAGACAGACGCTGGAACAGGACGGTAGCAAAGCTGGCGTAGTTCAGGTTGGTGACCTCCAGCATGGCAGGGTCGAACAACTTGGCTATACGAGACAGGAGGAACTCGAACCAGGCGAACATGGGAGGGTAGTCTAGGGTCCATTCTGAGGTGTCCTGTAATAGGGACGTATTGTGGATTGCTTATTACTTCGGTGCAATATCTTAATTGGGATGAGTGCTCGCTAAATGTAACTTATATATGAGGTCATCACGTGAGTTCATTTCCAGCCGTCATACCAAGCACTTGTTGGTTCCTCTCTTGATTAATAACTGTAATATTCAGTAATAGCAAATACACTTTACATCTACAAAATGTCACATGGTATTTAAAAAACAATAGATATTGAAACTTAGTCGGAAGACTGGGAAGATTGTTCACAACAAGAATTATGTTCCAGACCTCATAGTACCACTGGGACACAGGCCGACTGTGTGTGATGGCTAACCAGTTCCTGTGCACCTCAAAGTCTGTAGAACGGCTGCAGATAAAACAACAGACGATACAACAATTTATCATTTCTATGTTTTAACGCCCTGTGGTACTGGGTTACATTATGTAGCAAGTTGAGAAAAGAGTTGGAGGGGCTGGACACCATATATATGAATGGGTTGTTGGCTTATCCTATTTGAATGTTAACGTAATATTATATATTTACTAAATTGCAAATGTTGAGCTGAAATGTTATCTTTCCACAAGGAGGTTTAAAATGAAATGATTTTTGGCGACGCCTCAGGGGCGGAGGCATTTGTGTAAGTACTGCGATCGCTTTGAAAGAATTTCAAAAATTGCATGAATGCATTCCCTAGGGAATTGGTTTTCAGGTAGCCTCCGGCCTTGTGGTCATCGGAACAAGCAGGAAAGGCTTATGTTACCATGCATGCAATAGCACCTTTTCGGGCAAACTGTGGCTTTTTGCACACAGAATTATTATGAGAATATTAATGATTGTCTTTATTGATATTTCAAATATGTTTTCTTCTATCAAGAGAGCACAAATTTCTTGCTCAGGAGCAGCATATGCAAGCATATAATACTTCAAATATGTTTTAGTTGCAACTATATGATGCTGGTAGTTTTTTTATAACTTTACTGTGTGACACATGTAGTGTAACAGTGATGTTTTGTGTAAGGAATTTTATTCACTTGTGTGTTTTCTATCATGTATGTTTGTGTCAGTCTTGCTTTTTTATTTATTATTTTCTTCGCTTTCATGATGCTGTTGCATTCCATGCTTGTTTTTCAATTTTCTTGGCTGCAAAACATGAATGCACACCCCAATCCTTCCACGACTAGGTTTCATGCTAAGGTTTCATGCTAGCCAGTGAACTCCTGCTGTAGTCTGCATCTCAGGGTGGACATGGCGAAGTTTACCTGTGGGTATAAAGAGAGAAAAGAGCATAAATGAATCTATGCCAACTTTGGCCAGCTTTGATTAACTTAAATTAACAAGATTTAGGGTATGCAAAGCATGTGAGTCGATTAATTTTACAGAATGCAATGAAGCAGACACATATATAACACATTTTCTGGCAATGAAAATTGCGACATCATGAAGTATACATGCCGTATGTGATTTTTGCTGCCAGGTAATTATGAATAGCCTGCGTGCCAGACCCCAGCACTTAGAACAAGGAGCTTAACTCCTTGCTTGGAATAAAGAAAGTGCTTCTTCTTTCTGAGACTCTTGACCAGGCCTCTATACTGCCCAACACGCCACAGTTTCGGAGCTGGCTTCCTTCTTCAGTTTATCTAGACGTATAAATTAGACCCCGGCTGCAAATTCTGTGTTCCAGGCGTGAGATTTCCCTGACTGAATTGAGTATCGTGGCACAGGGGCCTGGCAACCAGGCTACACTGTTTTCCCGACAATGACATCATAGTAAATATGGTACCGTATTTCAAAACACACAGCTTTTCATGAAAGAAGTACTATAGATATGCGAACATTGCCTTACCATCGTGGTTATGTACAATATTGCATGATGATGAAATAAGGATGGTTAGGCACTCACCAGGTATTTTGTTCCACTTCTCGATTGTATTCTTGAGTAACTGCTGTGTTTGTCGTCATGTAGAGCTGAAAGAAACAGTGTAGAACAGGTTAGCGAAGTTTGTTCCATTCTAGGGTTGCGTTATTCAGCATAGTTCGACAGCGTTCAGCTTGACTGCGGATGTGAAACTTGACCTTATTATGTTGGGATGTCAGAATACGGGGAAATAATATCAAGTTGCAATTGTGTGAATTATATTAAGTTGTTAAAACCAAAATGGTGTTGACCTAGAGATAAGTATACAACGTACTGAAACCGCCTCTGTGCACTGAGATGGTCTCCGCTGTTCGGAACCCCGAGTCGTTGGCAGGTGCGGTCAGTTTAGCGCGGACAGGGCATAACCTTATATGCCGGCACTGGTGTTTGTTCACTGTTCAGTGTAGAACAGTAGGTATCCCTTTCTGCATGTCTGAGGTTTACTGGAAAGAAAGACAAAACAACGCCCGGGGTTACTGATCAGGAGAGCCTTGACGGTGAGAATTAAAGGTAAGGCCGGAAAACCCCGGCGGAACTGGGCGTCAGGTGGCTCAAACTTTACATAAACCAGAATTCCAACGTTCTTTCATACGTCGGACGAAAGAAAACCAGCCGCTAAAACGAGCAGCTTTAAAAACAATTCACTAACACACTGATCGTCGATACCTGATAAAGACTGGTTGGATTCGTAATGAAATACTGACAGAATTCTGTAAAGCAAAATGGACGGAATAAACCACACAAAGAACAAGATGAGTGAAGTCAGAAAAATGGGTGTTAGAATCTTCAAAATACATTTCCAAAAATAATTTCATCAGGTATTATACTAAATTACTAAGTACTAAGTGAGTGCTAAATTACTCCAGAATAGCCTGGCAGCCAGACCATGTATGCTTCCGGTATCTCACGGTGGTGCTGGCAGCACTGCCCGCCCGCCCAGGGGTATTTTATGCAGGGGTATTTTACCGGGTCGGTTACAGGACGACAATAATTAGAAACTTTCAAAGGCCAGCTGGAAAGATCTGGCATATCAGCAGAGTATGGCTGGGGCCTGCAAAATATTCCTAAGCCACTAATATGAACAGAAAGGTTTTGTCGGAAAGGGTAGAATATCAAGTAAGGCCGGTGGAACTTAACGTCATGTGGCACACACTTTTAATGTGAAAGCTCCTTGATTAAACTAAAATTCTCTCTACGCGTGTGGTAACCAGCCAACAAGCAACTTTAAACTTTCTCTAACTCAGTGATCGACAATGATGTATCAATCAGTCATAATATAACAACACCCAAATTCTGACACCGGAACTTTGAAGACACAATCAAGTACTGTACTTTGCTAACATCACACAAATAAAACGTTTAAGTCACGCTGACTACATGATCGATACTCTGCGCGGCTGATATAATGTATACGGCCATCGAATCAGTTAACAAGAATTTGTAATTCAAAATTTCCCCAAACCACTGCAAGTGATACTAGTACTAGGAACAAATTAGTCAATAAGCTGCTGGTAAAGAAAGGGGTAAAGCCGATTAGATTCTCAGACTAAGCGCCCCCATTTTATGCCCTTGTAACACGCCTCATTGAAGGCGCCTATTCTAGTTTTCTACTCTGAGGCCCAGTTTTTCCAAGGTTAGTAGAACTGTTCCTCCTTGGCACTATAGGTCTGAATCTTTGTCAGAAACTGTAGTGTACGTGATAAATGGCGTCACACATATACTAAATAGCGATGACCCATTTAAAACCACAATAAGGAAATACATGTACCCGGGACACAACAACATAGCGAGATCCAAGAACACCAGAATAACATAGAAAAAATAGTAGAAATCTAAAAAAAAGTAACTGCTTGAAAATA